TCGGACGCTTAACCGACTGCGCCACCCAGGCGCCCCTGAAACCAGGGACTTTTTACAGCTTAGAGGTTATCTTCATTGGACTGGGCAACCGTGCCTGAAGTCCAGGTGCCTTAGAAGTGCCACTTGCGTGGACAGTTTGTGTTGGTCTTCTCTGGAATTGTAGAGGATGTTTCTTCCTTCCGACCTTGCTAAGAGCTCCTTTACTGACAGCTCAGATGGCCTGGAGTGGTCAAGGCTAGGTGCCGGAACCCTCTTGGTTATGGAGGGGGGGAAGAAAAGACGGGTCTGGGAAATCCAAAACCCACCATGTAGACAGGCAAAGGGCAGAAAGGATGGGAAGTGGGGGCACATTACACTCTGTATCTCCCGCCCCCACCTCACCGGTTGTGTGAGACAAAGTGGGGTGGTCAAGTGCTTGGCACCTGGAACATAGAAAGTGCTCAGTAAATGTTTGCTGTTCCGATCATGTGCGCACAGTGCCTGGTACACAGTAGGTGCTCGATAAACCTTAATTCCCACAAAGGCCCGTCTAACCTTTATCTAGGGGTGAGTGGTGGACTGCTGGTGGGGTGGGAGTCAGAAACAGGAGGTCCTGAGTGAGACGGGAGGCAGTCAAGACCAAGGCGAAGCCCCCCACCTGTGTTTACCCCTTTTTCTCACTTCACCCCATGAGGTGGGTAGATTAGAGCGATGTCGACCCTCCTCATTTTTCAGAAGGGGAAACTGAGAACCTGAGAGGATCATCCCTTACTTAAGGCCCTTCAACCAGCTCGTGGAGGGTCCCTGGATCTCCCACATCTCCTGCCGCCGTTGGGGGCGGGAGTAGAGGAGCCGGGATGCGGGGACAGTCCCAAGGGCCCTCAGAGGGGCGGCTGCATTTGCTCATAGGAAGTCCGAGGCGCCGGGGGCCTTCCAGGCCCGGGACGAGGGGCGGTCGCAGCGGCCCAGCCAAGGTCAGAGCCAGCTTCTCCGAAGACAGTCCAGCCCTGCCCTCAGCAGGGAGGTGAGCACTGCCAGTCTGCCCCGGGCCCCTGCACCCCCCTCCAAGGTGGCAGGCAGGCGGTTCGAGAAGGGAGGTCCTTTGTGAAACGATCAGAGTCCCAATCGCGGGTGTCCAGCTTCCCCCGACCAAAGAGCCAGCAGCTCTTAGCAAAATTGAGAAGGACCCCAAATTACTGTCTTAAAGAGGGCCCTTCCGTGCTGGCCCCTTCCTTCATTAGACACCTGCTATCTTGAAAAGTTTTCAGGGAAAGCCGCAGACGCATCAGTCCAGCTCTAAGGGCTATCTCTTCCTCGCTGGGGATTTGGATTTTTAAAGAAACTCTTAGAGAGCAGGGCCTGACCCAGTGGCGTGGGGTGTTGGTGGTGGGAGTTCCGGCACCTGCTAGCCCAGGGTGGAATCAATATCTCGGGGAGGGGGGCACAGGGGAGCCCGGAAAGTAAGCAGCATTTTGAAGATCTCTTTCTGAAAGTGAGGAGACTGGGTGAAAGGGAAGAGCTCACACCCCCAGGGAGGAAAGACCCTAGGTGCTTTGCGGCCCGCTTTCATCCAGCCTGCTGTGAGGACACAGCCTGCCTCTCCCCAGTTTCCTGTACTGGAGAGAGACCACCCCGTCAGGGTTCTGGAGCGCCACGCACCCCCTCACTTATCCTCAGGTAACCAAGCCCCTTGCGAAGCAGGCAGAACCGGCCCGGCGGAGCCAAGCGGAGTCCCCTCATCCCAGGAGCCCCGAGAGGCGGCCTGAAGGGGACTGGAGGCTCCAGGGGTCCTCGCTGCCCCTGAGGACATCAGCCCGGACCCCTGAGAGGGAGCGGCGGCCAGAAAGATCTCTGGAAAGTGGCCGGGCAGGCCCAAGACAGCCTCCGGGGGGCCGGCAGAGTCAGGAGGAGTCTCCAGGTGCCCAGGGCCCTCACAGATACCTGGAGAGAGGCTGGGGCAGCCTGCCAGAGCTGTGTCCTCACCAGCCCACGAGCCCCCCGGAGAGCTCCAGGGTAGGCCCCGAGATCCCCACCACCACGGGCCGGGGTGCTGAGGGAACATGCCCACATCGGCATAGCCCTGAGAGGCGACCCGAGCTTGACTGGAGGGACCTCGTGGGCCTCCTCGGGGCACTCCGAGAGGGGGCCTGGGCCTGCATGGAGGCGTCGACGCTCGCCTCCCGTCTTCCCAGGCTAGACTGGGAAGGCCTCCTGGAGCTCCTGCAGGCCCGGCTGCCCCGCCAGGACCCAGCTGGACACGGGGGTACGCTGGCCACTGCTTCGGGGCCAGAGGTGGGTTCCCCAGCCACGAACGGTACCCTGGAGCGAGAGCGACAGGGCCAGCCTGACGGCTGGGTGGAGGCCACCCTAGTCAACGGACAGAAAGCTGGACCGTGGCCCCAGAGCTCTGCCCAGCCACCCAGCCCTGACTACGTCTCCACCCAGTGGCCAAAGACCAAAGTGACACGTGGACCGGAGACCTCGACTATGGCTAGTCTGGAGGAGATGGGCCAGCCAGGGAGCAGGAGCCCTGCAGAGGGTCCCAGCTTGCCACAGTGGGAGGTAAGTCAGTGTCACGTCCAAGGGGCAGCCTGAAAGTCAGCCTCACCCGGACAAGTGCACACCTTCCGAGGCTCAGCCCTAATCCCTCCTCCCGACCAAAACTTTTCCAACCGCCCCCGCAGTGATACTGACCAACATTTACTAGATGCTAAGCCCCGGTCTGAATGTTTTGTGGGTGTTTTCCTCATTCAATTTCCATAGCAACCTGATGCGAAAGGCACTGTTTATTTACAGATAAGGAAACTGATACTCAGAGAGGTTAAGCCACTTAAGATCACACAGCTAGTAAGGGCTGGGGCAGGGGTGGACCGCTTCAAGCAAGGTGCTCTGACCAGGCATTCTCCCTTCCTGGCTGCACAGTCCTTGGCTTGTGTTGCCTCTGATGGCTCTTACCTAACCCTGGCTGGGACGGCAACCAGTGTGGTCAAGTCCCCCTGACTTCCCTGCTGTATTCTTTTTTTTTTTTAATCTTTATTTATTTTTGAGAGAGAGAGAGAGAGAGAGAGACAAAGCACGAGTGGGGGAGAGGCAGAGAGAGAGAGGGAGACACAGAATCCAAAGCTGGCTCCAGGCTCTGAGCTGTCAGCACGCAGCCCGATGTGGAGCTCGAACTCATGAGTGGTGAGATCATGACCTGAGCTGAAGTCGGACACTCAACTGACTGAGCCACCCAGGCGTCCCTCCCTTCTGTATTCTAAGTTCCTCAAACGTAGGACAGTTTCACTTACCCCTTTCTGGCCCCTACAGCTCCTCTCGGGCACAGAGAAGAGGTTGTACAAATGCTCATTGGGTTGAGTTGAGTGCTAAGACAGGCTACTTAAACGAGGGCCTACTATGTGCAGGTCTGGGGGCCTGGCACATAGTAGGAGCTCACCAAGTCCCTTGCCTGCCTCCTTGGCTCAGGGGCAGGGTCACAGGGTCGGTGGTACTCTGGTGCTGCCCGGAGCGTCTACCTGAAGATGGTGGGTGGGGAGAGGGTCCTGGAGGCCGAGGCCGGGCAACCTGGCCTCAGCTCACTGGGAATGCAGCATGTGGTTTGAGCACCCGGCCTCTCTTGCCCTGGTCTTACCCTGTAAAATGGGACCAACTTCTTCCCTCATAGGTACCCACTGGCGTGATATGGAGGCTCCTGCTCGTTCATCCAAGCCCCCTCACTTCCTTGATGTGCAGCCCAATGCTGCCTCCCTCCTGGATGACAGGGGAGGGTTTCCAGTGTGCCGGGCCCTGGGCTTGGTGTTTTACGTGCTTTGCCATCTGTATGCCTCAGCCCGATCCGAGGCTCAGCCTTAGTCCGCCATTTGCCGGAAGTCACACATGTATACGTTGTGAGAAATCAGATCAAACCTTTAACTCCAGAGCCCGTGCTTTTAACGGCCATGTTGGTGAAGCCTCTGAGCCCATGGCCATACTGGGGAGTCCCCTTCCCTGTATTTCCCTGAGGCTTTTATCAATCTATTCTCTAGTCAACTCAATGCACAGACCCGAGATTTGCAGACATGAACCAGCTTGGTCCTACCCTCCTGGTCAAAGGGGGGCTGGGGGGCTTGGAGCCCCCCCCC